CAGCAGGGAATTTCAGTAGCACAGGAGGCCAGTAAGGTTTATTTCAAAGGGAAAAGTACTACAGAATTATGTGATATTTCAGTGCAGGACTTACTGGATAAAATTCTGTAATCTTTCCTTCATAGAAGTAGTTCAAATTGGATATTTCATTAGTTCCTTGTTGTCCTAAAATTCCATGTTTTTGTTAATGTTCCCTGATACAATGTCACAGGTGCCAGGATCCCATGAGAGAGTAGGGTTATCTTCACAGCTCCCAGCAACCGAGAGAGCACATTTTGAAGATAAATTTAAACAGATGTCTGGCCATAAAGTCCAGGTAAATTCCAGGGTAGTGATTCCAAAATTTTATAGTAAAAAAAAATTTAAAAAAAAAAAGTCACTGAAATACATCTTAGAACTGCTGAGATTCCAGACTTGGTTGAAAGCAGCAGTGTACGCTGTGCCCTTTGGTGTTTGTTTTTTTTATTTGGTTCTTTTTTGTTTGTTTGTGAAGAGCTGGTTCAATTACTTCAGGCTAACATGTTTTGCAAATCAGTAGCAGATTTCTGGAATTTTGAAAACTTTATCATAGAGCACAAATATTTCAAAGCCTACTCTGATGGCCATTTAATATATTTGTTTTATATAGTACTCATGAGGATCTAATTAACAGGTATATTTAATGTAGTTATAGAGTCACCTGTCATATTAGAGAACCCATTTCTGCTCCTTAGCAAAGTCCTTAGAAGCCTAGTTGAACGTTTTTCTACATAGTGAAAAACTGTGGTGTAACTAAATTATATCTGGATCATACTTTGGGGTTTTTTATTGGGAGTTTTTTGTTGTTTTTTCAGTTGTAGCTGTGTATTACGGTCATTTCTCCTGCCCAGCCCCCAAAGTGTTTTGGTCACATGCTAAAGACATTTCTTAAACATGAGATTTTGCACTGCTGTCAAGCAGTAATTTATGATATAGTACAAGCCAGTGATACATTGTTAACCTAGCAACTTTCCAAGACTTACTCTACTCTTTTCTGTTAATGTTTTTGTTTTACTGCAACAGCCATCTTTGTGCAATACCCTATTTTTATTTCCAGTAAGTATTTCAGAGGAATCAAAGAATTCCATGCAAATATAAAATATTATTCTGTATTGTGTATTCTGTTCTATTCATAGGTTTCATCTATGAATGCTTTCATATAGACTCTTCTAGTGTAAACCAAAAGGTTTTTCTTACTGTCCGTCATTAACTAGCAGTGTTTTCAACCATTGAAATGTTTATTTCTTTTAGTTTTACATTGGAAAAGTCTTAAAAATAGAATCCTAACCAAAACCTAAATCTACTACAATTTTTTTGCTTTCTCTAATTAAGGTTTAATTACATATTGTCTGTGAACTGTGTAAAGTGATGTTACACTTCTTAGAAACGCTAACCAGACAGTGGTGGTGGTTGCCATGTTTGAATGATTAAGGTCTGCTCCAGAAACTCTAGTGTTTGACATGGAATCACACCAAACCTACCCACCCAACTTTAAATGGGGAGCAGTATCATGCACAGCTTGATGTGTTCCTTGGCTGTGCCAGTCTGCAAAAGCATCGACAGCATGTAGAATGAATAATCTCCTTTATTTTTGAATTTGGGAGGGAAGGATGAGGAGCAAAACAACCAGAACAGCTGCATTCTTTTAGTGCAGCTGGACTGCAGTTCCCATACTGAATAACAACAGAGTTGACTTCCCTCGGAGAAAATAAAATGATAGATGGACAAGACTCTTGTCTTTTTTTGCTAGTTAGCTTCTACTGTAAGTTTTTCCTACTTAGTTACTTGACCATATGGCTGTGTTGGCATGCAGGTCTTTTCATTGTAACTGGATGAAGAAAGTGTACAGCAAATGCTGAGTTGTCTGATCAGCTTTTTTGAATGCAGAGCATTTCTCTGCAAAAGTAATTGAATCACAAATTTCCATTGAATTTCTGTACACTTACCCAAGGAATACACAGCATTAGCGTTTTCTGATAATGGATCTGTATGATCTAAAACATGTAAAACAGAAATCCTGATGATATGTTGCAAAGCAGATTCTCAGGTGTTTACTTTCACTTGTTAGCCTTCAGAAGCCTCTAGCGATGCAATTAACTTGCCTCAGACTGTACATATACAACCACAACCTGAAGGAGCGGAAAACCAGAAAGAGTTGCCAGAATGGAGTGAGAAAGTTGCCCGTGGAATCTTATCAGGTACTGTTGTAATAAGAGGACTGTGTTGAATATAAACCTCTGTGACTAACATTTAAACAGTATTTTCACCTAAATGCATGTGTGCTGGTAGAAGCCGAGTGGTCAGAAGTAGTTGTTCACCAGTTCCAGTTGTAATCATCTAAAGGATACTTTGGTAGGCTCTATAAAAACAGTGCAGAATTTAAATACATTGCCAACAGTCTTGTTCACTGCAAATGAGTTAGGCTCCTCATTTCACTATATGTTAGGATATCATCCCCTGTGACTCAAACCACTGTGATGGAACAATTTTCCTCCTGTATAAGCAGTTATATTAAAGCAGGCCTGTGTTGCGATTTCTGCAGATAAACTTTTTTTCCCCTCTGAGAACCTTTGGAATATGCTAATGACCAGCAGCTGATTGTAATAAATATGAATCTGCTAGGAGGGCTGGAGGGCTGGGTTGTGCGTTTTCAGAATGTTAATAGCATTGAGATGTGCAGTTCTATCACTTCTGACCCAGCTGGGGCTTGGATATCTAATAAAGAACTGAGTATGTGTATTAAGCTGATGTTTGGATGAGGGCTGGCTGTATTAAACTTAAATAAAGTGAATTGAAAAAACGTGGGGGGTGTAGGGGCAGAAACCGCTGCAGGAATTCATGCTGGCCCATTCAGGGAAGAGAATAATTGCAGACTGTGTAATCAGGAATGTTTCTAAGGTCAGCATTGCAGAGGCAGAGGAAGGAAAGCTGTAGGAATCATAGTCTATAAAAATTGTACATTCTAAGCAGCACAATTTTTGCCTTGAAGGTGCATCTTGGGTAAGCTGGGGCCTAGTAAAAGGAGCAGAATATACTGGTAAAGCTATCCACAAAGGAGCTTCTAAACTGCGAGAACACATTCAACCAGAAGAAAAACCTCTGGAAGTCAGCCCAACTGTAGCAAAGGGGCTTCACGTAGCAAAACAGGCTACCGGTGGAGCTGTGAAAGTCAGCCAATTCTTAGGTAAAAATTTCCGTCTCATAGTATATTATATCTGTGCCTTAAAAAATAAATATTCTGTAAAATGAGAGCTGGTTTCTCAGTAGTTTGTACCTAGTTATCTCTTGCGAGAGACGTGCTTTAGGTCTAATATTTATTACATGGCCTTGGAACATCTTTTTCTTTCCTAAAAGAATAGTCTGTACAGTCTTAAGTTTGGCATGTTTGTTTAAGTTTTAGATAGTTAATTCAAAATGGTGTCTCTCTTTCTTCTTAAGTTGATAACCATTTATTTTAAAAGCTGTACTGTCACTGGTTGTTAACATACATATTGTACCAGTAGAGAATGTGTGTATGCATGGTTTTAAATAGGCACACCTGAAACAAGTCTATTAGACTATGTATAAACTTGCAGATAGAAATGGCTTGGTGTTTAGAGGTGCTTGGTAACCCTAGCAGCTCTCAGTAACTTCATTCTGTTACTTATTTGCATTAATGTTTATATTTAGTGTCTAGTGACTCATCCAAGTTTAAAAGCAAATTGTGCTGGATGTTATAAAAATACTTTGGAGAGCTGGAATGATTTTAAGAAAGACTTCTCCAGAAGACAGGTCAGGAAAGAAACACAGCTTGTTCCCTTTCTGCAAGTTGGGGATAATAACAAAGCAATGGAAACCGTTTCTTGAAATTAGTGTGTGATGTGTATGTATTTCTTTTAAAGTACTTTTTAGCCATAAGACCAACCTGACTTGTTTCTTAGGAATTGGAGCTGTACAGAATCTGAAATATAAGGTTGCTTCTCTATCAGTTGGGTACTTAAGCATAGGTTAAAGTCTGTCTCTCAAATAAGCATATTTAAATAGGAGCAACACTTAAGACTTCAGTGAAACTTAATTAGGAGTAAGGACTTTTAAAGAAAGATGTTTTATGTTCTTACTAAATAATCTGTTTGCTATCGTTTTATGGTAGTTGAGGGAGTGTGTTCTATAGCAAGCTGTGTCGGAAGGGAGCTGGCTCCACACGTGAAGAAGCATGGCAGCAAATTAGTTCCAGAATCCCTTAAGAAAGATAAAGACGGCAAATCCACTTTTGATGGTGCTCTGGTGGTAGCAGCAAGTGGAGTTCAAGGTAATAAAAACTCCTTATACTTTTTTAATTGCGTACTTTTCAATGCTATGAACTCAAATAAGCTGTTCATTTTTCTTTTCAAGGGTTTTCAACAGTGTGGCAAGGTTTAGAAAGTGCAGCTAAGTGCATTGCTAAAAGTGTTTCAACTGAGACTGTAAAAACTGTGAAATACAAGTAAGTTATGTTTTTATTGGCTTCATCTCCTACAACATATTATCATTGTGTTTGAATACTGGCAAAAAATGCTTATGAAAGTGCAGGGAAGCTAACTGAAATACCTGCTTTGTTCTAATTATGCAGCACATGATAAGCTGCTAAGTGCACAGTAATGAGCATCTCCTGTAAGTAAAAATATGAAGTGAGTAAATGATTGTGGTAAGTATTTTTTTAGCTCTCTTCTAGAAGTAGTACAGCTTCAGGCTATATTACAAATACTGTTCGGATTTATATCTTTGCTCTACAGTCTAATGTCACTATGAAAAAATTTATTGTTTTAAACCTCTCGGCTTTGATCCTGAATTTATGTAAACTTAGCTAAATTTGAAGAAAAATGGAACAACTTAAACTATCGGCAGGCCTGACTAAAGCGAGGAGGTACAAAAAAGAATATTGTGTAAGGAAATCTAAGGCATAAATAGCAATAATAGGATAGCCTCGACTATACAGATGGTCTTAGAAAAAGGTAATGGGGGAAGACAATAGTAACATTTGGGATTAAGATGATGGAAAGAACAAAGTTGAGTACATGTATTGGAAGATGCTGTGGAGAATAAGGGAATACATTGAAATAACTGCAAAATGATGAAATGTACCCCTCAAAAAAGTGCAATAAGTATAATAGAAAGTGAAGAGTAAGCAAAAGCATGTAGGTTAAATGGAATTGGTAATAAGTGTAGCAAAATAGATGTTAAAAAGGATTGCTGAAAGTGCATACAGGCTACTAGCAGAAGGTAACAAGGTAAACATCAGCATACATTATTAAGTGGATTGGCATTTGGGGTTGTGTTGTGATGCATTTCAAATAGGAGGCTAGGTAGTGAAGTTCTAGTCAGTGGTGCTTTATTGCTAATGTTTGTTTTCAGTAGGAATGTCAGGAGGTATTGTAGTGGTACTTTTTTCACATAAATTCACATTAATGTTTTTGTTTTCGATATAAAAATAGGAAATATGGAGATCAGCAGTCAACAGCCACCAAGAGTGAAAAACAATAAGTAATTAAATGTTGCCATTAATGACAATACAGTCGAAAATATTTGATATTTGATCTTTGGAATCTATCCATATAAATTATTAAAATTCTACAGAATATCTCTTTTGGAAGCTGGTTTCTGTTTGTGACAAAGATTTCTGCCACTCAAAATATTTCAGTGAATAAGCTAAATTCCACTTAATGGAAACAAAGCTAAAGGAGCATCATCACAGTGTCTCTAAATCAACAAAAAACTCAGCTAAAACTTAGCTGCAGTACCTTTGTGGATGGAATTATAGAGAGATGGTCATCATATGTGTATGTTGATCAGAATTGGGGGAAAACATAACTTCAGATGTGATGTTTCTGCCGAAGTGCCATGCTACTACCTTAGTGGGTTTTTACAATGATATAAATAACTGCAGTATCTACACCTGCCCAACCTTTTTCTTCAAAAAAAAAAAAAAAAAAAAAATGAAATTGAGACAGGCAAATTAAA